TCCCGCTATGTTTTGCACGTATTAAACTCCAAATGCCGCGGTTCGTAACGCCAACAAGGTAAGATATACTACGTATATAAAATATGACGGGTTAAGGTGCGATAGTTATACTTTATATTGGCCATTGACCATCCATTGACCGCGTCATAGAAAAACTTCGCCGTTTGGGCAGTTTGGGTGTTTATAAAAACACAAATTATAAAACAACCTAAGTTTTTGTATCGTTTATCACATATAATGTTTGATTTAGTCAATATAAAGTAATATTTAAATTTTTAATATCGAAAGAAATCCCATCTAGTTTCTAGGTGTAGCGCGAAATTTGTGTAGGTAATAATTCATAATTTTCTGGGTATAGATAAATGATGAACTGTGGTCTGGGTGGTTGACTGATTCTGGAATAGATATTTTAAAAAATAGACAACATGGTGTGTATTTTTTTTATTTTAAACAATTGTGTATGTGTATATATGCATTTATATTTTTGCGACATTATTATTTATGTGTATTTTAAATTCTACGGTGAAAAATTTGTGTAAAGAACATTGACTCGATTTTTGTCGAAATAGGTATGGTCTAGACCACCTGTTTAAAAATGTAAGAGTAGGTTTTATTTTAACAGAATTTATATTTATTTTTAGATTTATTTTCCTTTAACTAAAAAAAAGTACCTTGTAAGAAACCAATTAAATATGGGGGCGTCCGAGGGCGCGTCTTAAAAAAAATCGACGTTATATTTTTAGATATTGAGCTCCCTACAATAATGGCCACCAGCCGCCACTGCCCCATGTACTGCTGGGTACCCCCTGAGAAATCTTGAATTTTGACTGAACGATGACTCTTGGCTAAATATTAATTTTTATTTGCTTGTGATGTAGTAAAAATTATTTTGTTTTCATCGTTTTATTCAAAAAATGTATTATTTATTTTTAACGATATTATTTTTCATTTTTTAAAAAACGAAATCCCTAGGCGACCCCTGGCTTCAACCGTAGAGCCCACCCCCAGGCCTGGCTTCAACCCTAGACACCCCCCACCCCTTCCCCTCGATGAATTGATTGTTACGTTAATCGTTATAGATATTTTAGTACAAATAAAAGAATTTAAAACATGTAAAATGTTATAAAAATTGAACATAAATGGACAAAACATTAAAAATTCATAAATTTGAAAATATCTACTCATAAAAATAAAAGACATCCTTGGAGAAAATTTTAAAAAAGAAAATACCAAGTAAATACCTGTTGTATTGCATAATCGTATATACGCGTTGACTACATCGGGGGTAATCTACTCGTTTATGTGAAAGCAAAATCCGTAAACCAGTATCTAACTAGACGCCACAGCGTATGAAAAACGACATTTTGAAATGCCACAAAGCGATTGTTTATAAAAATAATGAGACCTAAATGCCGGTTGATAATTGTATCGTGCTTATTATTTGTGGTCAATCAAGCCGTCCAGTGTCAAGAAAGGATTACTCTATATTCTAGTACAGGTGGGAAATTTTTATATTTTAATTACTAAGTATGTACTTGGGGTGGTGTACTAACTTTATTTATATACAGGATTGTCCGAATTGTATTCCTCAAACTTCGGCAGCATATTCTGTAGACAGGGGCGGATACAGGAATTCATTTTAGAGGGAGCCCAAAATAAAAAGTAATGTAGATGATGCTTCTTAGGGCGTTATTTTTAACCAAAAAGCCTAATATTTAACACAATTTACAGATCTTAGGGGGGGGGGGGAATCCATATGTGCCTCCCCTCTGTATCCGCCACGGTCTCTACATAAAAATAAGTAAGAAAGTTTGTATAAATGTATGTCCTAAAATGGGCTTAGTTTTGGAGATACAGGGTGTAAAAATTTAATTTTTATTTTTTCAAAATAATTTCTGAAGTAACAAAGTTATGACGTCAACATTTGGATGAACCAGTTCACACCAATTGTCTGAGAATTTTTTGACATGAGAAATTTGATTTTGATGTCAATATGACTCCTATTTGTAGGGGGCGACATGATACTACATGTATTTTAACTGTCTTGAAGAGTAATAACTTTTCGTCCGTACAGGTTTATAACTACTGAGTGAAAAAAAAAACATTTCCATGACTTTTTATTTCTCTTAGTACAAGTTGTACAAATATAGGAAGAGACTTGGGGATAGCACCGGTCGCCTGTTATTTTATATTTCTCACGTCTCTAGCTATACTTGTTAAGTTGTAAAAATCTCTACGGGCAACCGTTCTCAGTTCTCAAGATATTTAGAATGGAAATAGTCAATACATGACATTATTGACAAAAAATAGACACGTTGAGTAGATAGTTATTTGACTGAAATAATAAATTTGGGAAATTTTTTATTTTTTCTAAATTAATCATAATTTTTTCTGCTAAAAAGTGATGATAAAACAGTTTCTGTTGAACTTTTGGCACAAAAACATTTCAAATTTATGATTTCAGTCTAATAATTATTTAGTCAACATATGTTTAATTTATGTCAATGATGATAGGTATTGATAATTTCGATTCCAAATATCTCAAGAACTTTTTTACGTAAAAAACGTTTTAAATGTATATTTTTTTACTCAGTAGTTTTATACAGGTACGGACGAAAAGTTATTACTATTCAAACCTATGTAGGTGTCGCCCTCTGCAAGTAAGAGTCATATTGACATCAAAATCAAATTTCTTATGTCAAAAAACTCCCCGACACCAATTTTCATGCAAATATTGACGTTAGTTCAGGAATTATTTGGAAAGAATCGAAATAAAAATGAAACTGCTACACCCTGTATCTCCGAAACTAAGCATTTTAGAAAATACAATTATATGAAGTTTTTTACTTATTTTTATTTGCAGAATATGCTGCCGAAGTTTCCGGAATACAGTTCGGACCACTCTGTATACGTGGTTTTTATACTGTTTTTTTTTTATACTTACTGGTTTCATACTGGTATACTGGTTCGGAATTAACCGGAAGTAGCTACTAAATTATTACATTTAGCTATGAATTATAGCTAATATATAATAATAAGCTATATTATAATATATAATATAATTAGCTATAAATAATAATAAATATATTTGGGCTTGTTATCAAAATAATACGAGGAATAGCCTTGTACTTGAGAGGAAAACAATAATTTGCAAATATTTTGAAAACTAGGTACATATTTTATTTAAGTACCGTATGATCGAATAAAAAAGGCGTCAGCGATGGCTTTGAAATGCCGATCGATGACATTTCCCATATAATTTTACATAAAAAATTACAGCGATCTTCATTCCATAGCCATCGCTGACGCCGTTTTTATTCGATCATACGGTATATGTATGTATATGTCGATTTATCTTTTCTGCAAACGTTTTTTTAAACGGCTAAGCACCTTTAAAATGACCTTCAAACATTCATCATATAAGACATAATAAGATTGATCTAAAATATCTATACAGGATCTAATATATCTATACATATTATACATTTCTTTTGAAATGTATTTGTGAACGTGAAGCAAAATTCACATATACAGGGTGAGTCTTAAATAAGTTCAAATATTTTCAGGGCTGGTCTACAAGAAAATATGTTTCTTTTATCGACATCTGTATCTCGATAAAAAGAAACATACCTATTTTCTCTTTGCCGTTTTTCAAATATGTCCAAAATAACCGAGTTATTTACTTCGAAAATTTCCAAAAAAATATATTTTTTGCTTAAATTCACTGGATCTTTTCTGGGTTTTCATTCTTGTAAATTTAATCTACTTCCTATGTTGCCATATTATCAAGAAATTATGTTTTTTTTTAAATAACCTCATACCTAATCGTTTTTCTGGGGTCGAAATATACTACCCCTAAATATTTGCACTTATTTAAGACTCACCCTGTATATGTGAATTTTGCTTCACGTTCACAAATACATTTCAAAAGAAATGTATTTTTGTAGTTAAGTAATGAAATATACCTACTAAACAAATGTACTGAAATGTACTTTTAATGTCTCAATCTATTACTCGTAGTATTAAACAGGAAACTATTTAACAATAGTCACTTAAGCCAAGGGCAGAAATTGAAACCAAGATAATAACAATGACAAAGACCCCGTCTTGGATTTACATTTACATACAGTTCATAGAAGATAAAAAGAAATAACAAAACTATTATTTCTAATATTATAGAGATCTAATTATAGCTCCAATATTTTTGATAAACAAGGTTAACAATAGTATTATATTATATATAATATAATATATATTCGTCATAACTCGGCCATTTATATGAAAATTTAACATGGTTTTTACTTCTGGAATTTAATTTTGTATTTCAGCTTATGAATCTACAGTTTAAATGATCAATAATCAATTAATATAAACAAATTATAAAAATGTTTATGAAAAATATTTGTTATGCTACTTTTACTTTCAAAAACTTCTAATTAAGTTGTTTATAAGAACGGTATATGTAAAATTCCCACCAAAAATTTCTTCATTCTTTAACATTATTGGTACAACACAAACAGAATCATTAATCCTCTCCATACACCTCATATATAATTTGGTTACATAGAAAACATCCAATGGCGTGCATTGCAAATCAAAGCAGAATAGGGAAAAGTTGCCAAATAATAATATAAAAATATCACAAGTGATTACTTAGAATGTAGATTGTAGAATGAGTGTAAGGGGGGTAGTCAACGCGACCTTAACGATCTATTGTGTCCCCGCCCTTTCTTGAGTTATAACTCACCGTACAGTCTAATTATTACGCTCATCGTATTTTTAATCAAAACCATGTGAAAAGTGTATTCTATCCTATTCATGAATATACGTAAAAATTAGGTTTTGATTAAAAATACGATGAGGGAATTTGACGTAAATGCAGTAGTCAAAAATTATTTAAATATATCTTTAATAAATTTAAATTAATTTCTAGAATACAAATAAGATAAAAAATGCTTATTGCAAATATTTTTAGATTAGTAATACCTTTTTATTCTTAATCTAAGGTAATACCCCATACTCGCAATCAATGCTCTGATTCGGTTCGTCAGTTCATCGATGCGACGACGGTTCGTTTGAAGTCGGTTTGTGGACGAACCATCAAGATAAATATCACGAATACAATGAACTAATTTCCAAACGAACTATATAGAATCGCATGGACGAACCGCGTCGCATCGAACTATGCGTGCGTGGATGAATCAAATCGACGCATCAGCTCTTATAAGTGAGTATGGGGCTTAATAATGAATTATATAATCTTGGAATATCCTGATACGAAAAAAACAAGGTTTTGTGATTTTGTCTGGAGGATTTTTGCCTACATATGTACGCCCCACAACATTATTAGTTGAATGATAGATGAAAAAATCACAAAAGATGTTGTTTTCGTAAATTAGAACAAGGTCACTATCGATTAACGAATAGGAACCTTACGAAATTGAAAATTAGCGGCTTGCAGATAATCTCAAATCACGTAATATTTTTGATTCAGATCAAATAACGGATATAACAGATTGCCATCAAGTATGAAATTATAATAAGTTTTGCAACAGAATAATAGAGATTGTTTAATTATTACGTACCTACCAAAATATGGAAAAAGTTAAAAAACATTTTTAAAAACAAAGCAAATAAAAAAAAGAGATAGTATTCAACGTAAAACATTATTTTTTTCGAATGAATCCATTTTTAATTCGACAAAAAAGCAGTTTTGGGGCTTTGTGCTAGACGCACTTAAGTTTGTTTTAAAAGTCTGAAAAATATATTTTGTTTATTTCTATTATTCATTTATATCTCTGAAACTATTGAAATATATTTACTCATATCTTAGTATTATGTAACAGCTAACAGCGCTTTCAGATGGAGCGGAGCGTCCAAGATAGCCGTCAGACGAAATAATCCGGACGGAGCATACGCGACCCATGTGAAATTGTTCATTTAAACTCATGGAACTCGCGGACGCTTCGCTCCATCTGAAAGCGCAGTGATCTGAAGGGAAGCAAAAAATGCAATAATATATACAGGGTGTTCCATTTAAAAAAATCATCCCAATCCACTCTCATTTTTTTGAGCCATAAAATATTTTCCCGAAATACATCCTAGTACATAATTTAGGTTTGCACTTAAACAAAATTCCCAAGTTTTTATTCTAGGAGCTACAGATGCCCAACGCATTATTGCCAGACTCTGATCCATATTTGATTGACTAGGAACATATTGCGAATGGCCATTTATTTATTTAAGTTTTCGAATTCGATTGCAATTTCACTGCTAATTATATACTGTTTGTTTCAACAAAATAAAAATCAGTGAATTAAAGTAATATAAACAGATAGGTACTCGAAGTTGTTACGCCTGTTGCATATATTTATGACTACAAAACCGGTTCAATTTTAATTTGTAACAACTCTAGGAAATGCTGTAAATTAGATCATGGGCATATATCAAGAAATTTCATTATATTAGAAACATTCTATATGCTACTTATAGTACTTATTAAATCAGTCTCTTGAGCAGTTTAGAAAGTATACTTATTTAATTTCTGTTCTAGCTCATAAAAAAAATAGTGGTATTAAAAGTAGAACAAAATAAAATAGTATTACCCTTAATCAAGGGTATTACTGTACAGGACACCCTATATAGTAAACGGAAAATTTTAAAATTGATCACACTGTATATTTATGATCATAAATACAGTATGATTATTTATGATCATACAGTATTTATGATCATACAGTCTTATTTAAAAAAATTATACAATTTTTTAGGAAAGAATTCTCTAAGCTTTGATAAACCGGAGAAGAATAAAGCCATAAAATCCAATCCAGTTGCAGAAGACAATAAGCAAGAATTAACTAAAACAAAAAATGAAGAAACCAAATTAAAAAAAGAAAACGAAGTGACTAGTGGAATTCAAAAGGAACCAAAATATTTATGCCCCTCAAAAAAATCTCCTAAACCACTGTTTTCGCTTTCACTTCCCTGCAGTACTACAGAAAATTGTGGATTCTTAGGTCATGACATGCTATGTTGTGAAAACAGATGTGTAAAAGGAATTAAACCGCCCAAAACTGAAATAAAACACGAACGTAAGTTACCTGCACTAATAAAAAATAATAAAATCTAACAAACTACTTTGTTTGCAGCATTACTATTTGGTATTATTGAAAGAAAATGTCCAAAAGATCCCTTAGCAGAATTATCAGATGTTCATGAATGTTTTTCTGATGAGGAATGTTCCCCTCGAATATGCTGTAGTGAAACACTAGAAAATGGAGAGAAAGCAAGATATTGTCGCACTCCTATACCCGTTTGGGAATCTCTGCCATTGCCATCACCTGTCTTAGAACGTAATGAAGATTATATTGTAAATAAAAAAATTGGCGCCGGGAGGCACGTATAGCCGCCCATACTAAAATATGTTAATATCTCGAAAACTGCGACTTTGACTGATTTTGATGTTATTATAAATTTTGTTGCAAATATTATTCCTAATCTTAATTTGAAAACCGCGTTTCGCTAGCTACTGTAATTTTGGAGTTACAATTTTTCAAAATTTTTAACCCCCTCCCGTACCCCCACATAACTAATAGCCAGATTCTCGGGTGCCACAGTATTTTTGTGCCAAATTTGGTTAAAATCGGTTCAGCGGTTTTTGAGTTATCGTGTTACAGAGGGCAGATCTGTCCGTCTGCCGTCTCTAGACAGACACCATGAAAATATTTTGTATTTAGGTCATTTATGACCCAAATAACTCATTTTGAGTGAAATTAAAAAAACTTTTTTTTTGCCGATCTTAATAGCCTACCATATCTATTGGTATGGTCGGCTAAAAAGTAGTATGTTTTTAAACAAAATTAATTTGTAGCCCTAAAGACAATAACCGGTTATATGCAGTGTACACCTCCACCACCACCATATCTGGATCTTCACCCTAAACCATGCGAGAACCCTCTGGACTGTTTTCCTAACTTGTGTTGCCAGGAACAAGGCAAGAAGTATTGTAGACCTCCAAGAAAGTCGCTTTTAGCATTAGTTGCTGATTTGGGACAGGTAAAAATTTAAATATAATCCTTTTATAGCCTAATATACCCAAACACTTAAATTTCAGAAAATAATTCCAGAGGAAACAGCAAGAAAATTCATAGAAAGAATATCCTAATAATTAGGGTGGAGATTTAAAAAAAAATACATATAGATTAAATACCATAATGTGATGCCATTATGTAAATAATATTATATTTATTTAAAATAGATTACTCGAGAAGTTTTTTTTATTCAAAGGATTAAATTGCCTCCATGATCTTGACCATCCTAATTTTAATCAGAAACATCAAAGATTTATTACCCTGGGCGGGTCTTGAGGGTGAACTTTAATGCTCTTTTTCTATTAAAGAGCTTGTAAAAACTGAGCCACAATAGGCCCTCGCGGCCGCAGTGGAGGGTCCCACCTGGAATCCACTCTTAGTTAAATACAAGTACAATACAATACCCTGAGCACATTTCATTAATCATAAAAAAAGCATTATTGGGCTTGGTAGAATACCAATTAAAAGTTTTAAGTATAACATTTTATTTTATACTAGTTGAAGCCTGGCGCATCCGCCACGACATCAGAAAAAAATACTTTTTATTTTTTTTAACTAAATGAAAAACAAAAAATCCAGCGACGACAGTTTTTAGAAGAGCAAATTAGCTATCTTTTAGTAAAAAAAGCAACTTTCTAGAGCAAGTCGTTACTTCAGTAGAGACGACACAGATAAACATTAGCATTTTATATTTGAAATATCTATAGTAAAGATTTAATTTAAATTATTCTAAATTACTTAGCGATTTATAATGCATTTAATAGTTTCCCATTTCAACTGTATTGAAGTAGTGTCTATTTTAATCATAGAAGGGTGATAGGTAGCTTAATAATATTTTCATTTTACACTTCAGTTATGGTGGATTCAGTCTTCGCATACTAGTCCTAAACTTACCCGTAACATTCCCAGACCCTAAAAATGCTTAAAGAAATTCCTTTCATATTTCTCCTATTTACCTTAAGAATATTCAAATAAGCATTTGACAATGATAACATGTACTTGTTTTTGAATAAACATTAATAATATCTAGATCAAAAAATAAATGATTTATCAAACATCACGAAAACGTCACTTGAAACATCTTGGTGTAAATACAAAAACATTGATTTTAATTAAATAGTTTACTGTATCACCTTAAAATATAAAATAACATGGTAATAAACCTAAATTATTTCTTTTTGACAAAGCAGTGCAGCAAATCATTTAATCAAGCTGAAACAAAGAGAATGCTAAATTAATACCTAATATACAAAGTTACTGAGTAACTTACTTTCTTAAAACCAATATCTCCAGCGTACTCCCTGAAGCATTGACGGCAAAGATTTAAGCCATACTTGCGGATTAGACCATGTCTGTTCGAGCAGGCCCGGCTGAAATATAACATTTTAATTATTTATAAATTAGGTTACATCCAAGATAATTGTAAAATAAACAGAAATATAACCATAATTACAAAAAGACAACAAAAAAGGTATTATAATAACCCATATATAATCATAATAGATAAATAACAATTTATTACTATAGTTCAAGAAACGTGATGATACCAAAATGTGTTAGAAATATAGGAAGTAAAAAATAATTTTAGTCGTATGTAAATCAAAAAAATGCTATTAACATACCAAGATCTTGATCCTTGACCATATTTACGTGGATGTGAGTACCAGATATTTTGGAAACCCATATTTATTAAAAATAATGGTATAAATTCAGGCTAGAAATCCACACGCGAGCTTCTTCAAAGCAAAAAAGAACGTCAAACGTCAGCTGTCACCAGGTTGTCATCAGAAGGAACCATTCATGCCAACCTATGATACCAACCTACGTAAATTCTATATATGATTGAATTTTATATATGATAAACAATTCCCCAGAGTTTTAATGTTACATGTAGAAGGTCGATTTTAACACTTTAAAACTTACTGGGGGTAAAGGTGTGGATCCGGTGGCTGACCTTAAAGCCATATTTGCTGCATTTGATCATCGATACTACGCAAGCGCACATCGTCGATGTTGCCAAATTGCGGTTTATTTTCGAATTATTTGCAGTTGAAAATTTTTTTTGAGTGTTAATCAATAATAATACAAATTCTATAATTAATTTTATAATTAAATTTTTCAGATTTATCTTGATATCCAAAATTAAGGAATGATATATAAAATTGTAATAATAATATTTATTTATATATTTACATTAGAATTAAAAATTATCATTTACGGATATTTTCTTAATGGTTTTAAACTTATTAGAATTATTTTATTTCTTTCAAGTTATTTAATTTCTAGTTATTTACAGGCAACAATAGTTTTGATTATATGTACTGATGTATGAAGTATTACCATGACGAATCTTATAGAACAATACACGTCAATGGGAGATAGAGGTAACATTTTACTGTGATTTTACCTATAATTTTACTAATATAATATACTTTGATTATGTTTGTATCAAAATTTCTTAAAAATATCAAGTTAGTGGATTAATAGCAATTTTAGACATATATTTTATCGAAGAGTGTGGTGATAAGACTAAAATAAGCTTTATGTTTTATCTTTTTCTCTTTAGAAGGGAGATGTTTTTTGTCGTAGAATACATTACAGTATTTAATATCGTGTACTTTGATATTCTTTTCTTAATCTACTGTAATTTCTTGTTTCCTATAATGCCAAATCTTGACAATATGGTGAAGGTTGAGTTTTGATCTTATTAGTTTAATACCTGTGTTTATACAAGACCAAATTAAGACTTAGTTAGTTTGTGATTTATATTAAGATCTTTCTTATAATATTTGTTATGTCTTAATCTTAATACTATATTATGCTTTGGAAAATAAATGTTCAAATATCTTAATTTTGCATATCCTATTCCATCCTTCCATTAGGAAAAATATGGTTTATAAATCATATATGCTAACAAAATCATATAAATTAGGTGTAAGAATAGAGAAATCTTAAGGTAGCAGAAAAATGCAATATATGTATAAGCAGAATTAAACAAGGTAACTGTTAATGTTGCTGAAGCTGATTCTAGAATTTTAATTACGGAGGTTAAAAGGCCTTTTAAGGCCTCCGTAGTTTTGATGGAATGTTAAAAAAACTATTATGAACATGACATGGAGCTACAGCATTTAAAAATTAAAAAAAAAAGAAAAAACTTGGACACATCCCTTTTAATTTCTCGAATTTTTAATAAAGCCCTTTTTAAACGTAGGATAATAATCTAGAGCAGTTAGATTAATTATAGGAATCTAGTGTTTTATTTCTATTTAATTTTTTTGACTATGAAAATACATAATAAGCGTTCACGTGTTGTGCGAAATATTAAAATAATAATATAAATAATATACCGCGTACTATGATTGAAAAAATAGCGTCAGCGATGACTAAGAAATGAAGATCGCTGTCATTTTATATGGGAAATGTCCTCAATCGTCATTTCCCAACCAACTGAACGCCGTTTTTTCGATCATACGGTATATATTAACAAAAAAACACTGAAATGCACATATTTGTTTTCTACTGAAAATATTTCCAAAATAACTTGCAATCTGGCAACATCGAAGATGTACGCATGCGTAGTGTCTGTGACTATATGCAGCAAAAACTCGTTTCAAGGTCAGCCACCGGATCCACACCATTACCCTTACTGGGTAGTAAAATTAAAATAAAGTGTTAAATTTATAATAACATGTTTATAATATCTGCATATAAAGATTACCTAAATTCAAATATCTAGTGACTTTTAATTAATTAAAATTCTTTAAGTCCCTAAAGATATGTTTGACGTTTGACATTTATGACGTATGTTATTTCTGAAAAAAGTAAACGTAAAAAGCGGAGTGTAATTTTTCTGTTGGAAAAACAGTAGTGAAATCAAGTTTAATATTGTTTAAATATGGCAAAAACATACGATTATTTATTTAAATTATTACTTATTGGTGATTCCGGTGTAGGAAAAACTTGTGTGTTATTTCGATTTTCAGAAGACGCCTTTAATACAACCTTTATTTCAACCATAGGTGAGTAACATCAAGTTTTATTTTTTACAACCTGTGAACTTTCCATTTATGATCACTGGCAAATGTACAGTTTATTTTCTATTCTATATGTTACTTTAGTGTGGAAGTTATTAATTCGAGCGTTTTGTGTTTATTGTTAACCACACCTCAACTGTAAAACTTTTAATTAAAATAATTATTTGGTTCAGTAATTTAAAATCTCTGTTTACATTCCATTGGGTTGAATTTAACAAGAATTTTTACATCTCTTTATTTCTGAGGAATTGGTGACTAATCATTATTTTTCGAAAATTAACAGTTATATTTTGTTTACAGAGTAGTACTAAATTTTTTATTGTGTTAATTGTTACTTAAAAAATTAAATAAAAGTTTTTAATGAAAATTAACTAGAAACAACTTACTGAAAATTTGTAAAGAATATCAGTAGACCCCATATTTTTTTTTCTAGGGATTGATTTTAAAATACGGACAATAGATTTAGATGGCAAAAAAATTAAATTACAAATATGGTAAGAGGCATATAATTTAATAGGTGACAAAAATAAATTACATACCATGTTATCTTTTTAAGGGATACAGCAGGCCAAGAAAGGTTTAGAACCATAACGACAGCTTATTACAGAGGGGCCATGGGTATTATGTTAGTGTATGATATTACTAATGAAAAAAGTTTTGAAAATATTAAGAACTGGATCAGAAATATTGAAGAAAATGCTTCTGCTGATGTGGAAAAGATGCTTTTAGGTAATGCATAAAAATAAGGTTTAGACTTTTAGAATACTATTTTAAATATCTGTAGGAAATAAATGTGAACTGGAGGAAAAACGACAAGTCTCTAGGGAAAGAGGAGAACAGTTAGCTATTGAGTACGGTATTAAATTTATAGAGACTAGTGCAAAAGCTAGTATTAGGGTAGAAGAGGCTTTCTTTACATTAGCTAGAGATATAAAAACAAAAATGGAAAAGAAATTGGTAAGTTTGGTTTATATATTTTGTCTCTTCTGTTATCAATGACTTGAACAATATTTTTAACAATATCTACAAAATTGAGTCAAGAATTAACTGATGTATTTATTAATACATATTAAATAAGATATAGAGCTTTTCTCAATTCTTATTTACCAATACCTATTTCAACAATAACATTCACTATAATGTTTGTACCGTATGATCGAATAAAAACGGCGTCCAGTTGGCTTGGAAATGACGATCGATGACATTTCCCATATAAATTTACATATGAAATGACAGCGATCTTCATTTCATAGCCAACGCTGACGCCGTTTTTATTCGATCATACGGTATAAGATTTATATACTTTGACAGCTTTTAAGTAGTGATGATTTAAATGTAACATTTTGACTTTATATTTCAAGTTATTATAAGATACTAGATAATTTTTTATTTCTTTCATTTATTTTATATTATGTAAGTTATATATTTGCAGTGTTATATTTTTACTAATGCATTTCTATTTCTATTACTGCTGTCCTTGTCTCCTGGCAGAAGGTAAATAATGTTTTAGGTTTCTTTGCTTATTTGTTTAGCTGGCTGTTTTAAGGGTTTGATTTCAAGCTTTCATTATATCACATTCAAACTTAACGTCATATTAAATTATACATAGCACATATTACTTTAAATACTAAAAAATTGAATTTAGCTGATTGCTATTTTGGGTAATTGATGTAATTTTTTTTAACTTGAGAAATTCTTGTTTGAAGTTCTAACAATATTTAAGATTTGGTAATATCACTCAGAATGAAATAAAAAAAACAATGCAAAATTGAATGCATGTAATGATTAATATTATTAAATTTTAGTAAATTTCTTGACTTATTTTATGATCGAAAAAAACCGTCAGCGAATGTCATCATTGTTCATTGCCACGCCAACTGGACGCCGTTTTTTTTTTGATCATATGGTACATATTGTTTAGTTCAATTTGCAAATATTTTATATTTTTTACAGAAAATGATGTAAAATTAATCTTGTCAGTTTATCTGATTTTGTAAACTCTAGAAGTGTATCCTCTAAATATGGCATGAATTTGCACATGGGACTTAAATAAAAGAAAATATTTCATTATTTTTTTTAACTTAAAAAAATCATTAAATTTCACTTTTTTGGATGTAAATTGTTTATCGAAAATGATTAACAATTTAATATTTTAACAATCAGTGAAATCCTGTATCTAAATTATAAAACTTTTTAGTTTTATAATTGGTAAAGGTTTATTACTGCATGAAATAATTTAAGTAAAACATCTGTCTCTTCTAGTATCAAACATTGTTAGTTAAGGCATACTAATACCGATAAACAAAAATTGAATTAAGTGAAAAAATATTATCTGTAGTCAAATTTTTAGGAATGTTTTTTTTTTCATTAATTAATTATTAAAATTATGCGATAAGAATATTAGAATAATAATTACTTATACAACGTAATTATGTATCATAGAGAAACATATAAACACATAATATGCATTAAAAATATTTAAAGTATTACACATAACAAAAGAGTTATTTGATAACTTGTTTATAAAGTAAAAATAAACTACAGCCACAAATGTGTTCTTCCTGTCTTTATCTATCATAATAATATCTTTTGTTTTGAAATATTCATATCTTTTGAAGCTAGAATACATTAATAATATATATATTCAAAAGTTAGATATATTTAGGTATTTATGTCATATAAAAAATCCAATTCTTCTATGTATTTAGTTAATTTGAAGCTTATTCAAACCTTATATTTATTAAATTAGTTATATTTTTTTATGTATACCATTTAAGTCCGAATTTGCGATTTTTGGTGAAATAATAATTAAAATCATGACATTATAGGTTTTGAACTACAGATTTTGTAATATTTATATATAGGAAGCTAGCAATCCTCCAAAAGGCGGCCACCAACTGCGAGCTTCTGAACCACAAAAGAAACCTACAAGTTGGTTATCCCGATGCACCCTACTCTGACCATATGCTGACATATACTCTAACCTACCGCCATCTATATTAAGGTAAATACTCCACCGAAATGAAAAATTAATTCTACCTACTAAGTATTAATGTACATCATCAAAAATTCATATCATTGCAGATATTTTGGATAAAAACTGAGATTGGTGAATGTGCAGTGATCACAAAAGAATAAAAGATGTTTAATATTAGATGTGACTTGAACCAACGATTAAGGTGCTCCTCTTTGCTGTTTTGTTTTAATCATTAAGCTGTCAACAAAAATTATCAATGTCCCTTCATGTTCCATATCCTCTATTATTATATTTTTATTGACATTTTTATCTGTATAAAAATATATATCACGCTATGTGCACCACAATCCTGTGTCTATGAAATCTATGTGTATTTGAGGAATCTTAAATGATGACATGTGATAACGCATTGATATTTTGTTAATTATAGTGGACAAATAAGGAATTTTATTTATCTAAATAATATGCATGTTCTAAAGTAAGGGATATTTTAAATGTATGCAAATTAATATTTCAATAATTTTTATATGTTTTTTTGAAATTGGGCATTTCATAACCTTTCAACTACATTTGGTGGGTATATTTAATCTACAGAAAGGTTACTATATTTAAATAACCCTGTAGAAATTTGCCACACATGTTGCGCGAGAAAATTATATTCTTTATAAATGGTCTAAAAGTTTGAATTTGCGCTTACATTTAAAATATCATATGTATTATATCAATATATTGAAGACACTACAAAATTTTATAGATATAGGGTGTTTCAGATTTTAATCGGGAAAATTTAGTAGGCGATAGAACTTGCAAAAATAAAACAAAAAGTTCATATCAACTTGTAAGATTTAAAGCTTCCTTTTCGAGATACAGGGTACCATTAGAATACTAATTATAATATTAATTACCAATTAGAATTTTTTTTTTCGCAAGAAGTAACCAAGATAGACAAAAAAGTCAGGAGACAAAAAAATAATATTTTTAATTACTAAATCCAAAAATAATATTAAACTTCTAAAAATGCAGTGGCGCGCCTATTTTATTCCTTTAAAATAATTTAACAGTGATGCCCTACCGCCGCCCCTGGCCATTAAAATTAAATCTAATTACATCAAATTAAGTCCCATAATAAGTATTATAAATGGGTCAAGTTATATCAAAATCGATTAAATAGTTTTTCAAATATCTTATTTTTTTTTATTTTTGAAGTAACTTTAACACCCTGTATCTCGAAAAGGAAGCTTTAAATCTTACAAGTTGATATGAACTTGTTGTTTTATTTTTGCAAGTTCTATCGTCTATTAAATTTTCCCGATTAAAATCTAAGACACCCTTTATAACTATTACATGTTTATATTATTTACTAATGTAGTCAATGTAGTCTAGAGTGAATGTTTTGGAGTTCTAGGGTACATTATGTTTTTTTTGTTTACTTTTGTAATTGAGGGTTTAAGGGGATCAGTTTAAAAACTTGTGAAAATATTTTTAATAAAAAAATCTTTAATGTAAGTAATTATCCTACCAGTGACACATTTGGATAACTGATATTTATAGAATAGTTAACTGTCGATTTATAATTTTAAACACTCTACCCTCCACTATGGCATAATTCTAAATTTTAAAATTAATGTTTTTTTTTACCTTTTATAGTTTTGTTGAACACAAAGAGGTAATACCTATGTTTCTTTGAAAAAAAAAACTTGTGATTGAGGTAATTAGTTTTTTTACCGCTATATTTAGGTAATTTATATAGGATATTTATGTGTGCACATTGTTCTTAGGCCTCAAGGTCCAAAAGAGGCCAATGTGATCATTTGAAATCAGTTTTTAAACTATTTCATTTGTATTTTTTGTTTTAATTGGTACTTGTGTAAATAACAGAACATATATTTTAAACGTATTGTAGCAAATCACAATCAATACTATATAATAAATGGTTTTATTTTATAAGGACAGCATATTAAGAAACTTTTTTGGCAACAAAAAATTAAGTTCAGTTTCTTCAGACAGTTTATATTACACATGCCTGACTTATTAAATTGATTTTAATAACTTTTAGATTTTTATACACTTTGTATAATATGAATAGAAACTGTTATTGACATATTGCTCTTTTAGTTATTTTTTTATATTACATGCTATGTAAATAAATTACATTTTAAAAATAGATGATTTTTATAATTTTAATAAACTTTATGACAATTTACAAGATCATTTATTTTAAGCCCTTTTATCACTAACAGTCTAAAATTTACTAACAGTCCAATTGCTTTTCCTATTTCTATATATTTAATAACTTATACTAAAAGAACTGTTCTAAACTATGTTTGATTTCTTCAATTCTTGCTGGATTCACATTCTGAAGTGGTGGTCGAGCTAATCCAACATTTATTGGAGTGAAAAGGTTCATCGCTAGTTTCATTCCAGACACTTTCGAACCTAAATTAATATATTTGATTAATTTATTACTTAGTCAAGTTAGTACGTTCTTAATTTAATGGTTTTAACTGTGGTATAGTGGTACTTCCTATACAGGGTCTCTTATAAATAAGTACGCACACACGCATTTTAACAGGTAGTATATTTCGACCCCAGAACACACCCAATACAGTAAGGTAGAGATTTTTGTAATTTTTTTTTACATTTTCCGGGCTATTGTGTAAAAGGAGCAATAGTAAGTACTTCCCTCGGCGTTCATTTTAGATTTTTGAAGATTTGGAGATTAATACAACTTACTTTTGTGATCTCAGTAAAATGCCATTCCAACTTTGCCAATATAACGATATGTTCGATGCAGAAACTATCTTGCACACGATCGCTATTTGACAATTTGTTCAATAGATTATTGCCCAGCTGGGTGCAAAAAATCAATTTTTTGATTTTAATTAATTTTTATTTAAATCAGATTTCCAACTAATTAACGACTAATTTCCAGTAAAATCCTATCCTAAATGGCAAAATCTTCTCTTCGCAACTCTGCCTATAATATTAACATATTTCTACAACGCGTATCATTTTTCCACATCAATCACTAATATATTTTATTCTGCAAACTTTGCCGATACCCCTATTTACGAAAAAAAGTTACCCACTTAGATCAAAGGGATTTTGTTTGGAAATAGTGAAGACTGTCTTAAGTCGAGAATCAAATTAGTACCATCTAATGTTCACAGTGCAAAGTACTTAATGCAAAACGAAATGTCGGTAAAATATGCGGTAAAAATTTGTAAAGCACTAGAAAATATATTGGAAAAGGCAGAAGTTAACTTGATCAACATACAGCTGTTTCGAAAAAAGATATAAAACAGCTTTGACATGACCAAATTTTTTGACATTGATTATAGATCCTCGGGAATAAAAATATACCATCAGAAGAAACTAGTTCTGCACTACAGTTTGCGAATGAAATGCATTCGAATATCGAATTTCTGTCACTTTACGATTTCAACATAAATCTCTGCCGTTTGTAATTCTAATGGATTCACACTAAATTACTTCATCGAGCAAGTACCATGAGTTTATATGAACGATTTCACATGGGTCGCGTATGCTCCGTCCGGATGAGCTATCGCGGACGCTCCGCGCGTACTGTCCGCTCCATCTGAAAGCGCTGTAAATCGGTCCAACATTTTAATAAACGAATATACAGGGTGATCCGAACTGTATTCCTAAATCTTCGGCAGCGTATTCTGCAGATAAAAATAAATAACAAAGTTCGTATAAATGTATGTCCAAAAATGCTTAGTTTCGGAGATACAGGGTGTAGAAGTTTCATTTTTCTTTCGATTTTTTCCAAATAATTTATAAAATAACGTCAATATTTGGATGAAAATTGGTGTTTGGATGTTTTTTGACATGATAAATTTGATTTTGATGTCTGTATAAAACTACCGAGTAATAAAATATGCATTTACGACATTTTTTACGCAAAAAAAGTCTCTTGGTAAAAATCGCTACGGGTAATGGTTCTCAAGATATTTGGAGTCGAAATTATCAATACCTGTCATTGACAAAAATTAAACATGTTGACTAAATAGTTATACGACTAAAATACATAATAAATTTGAAATATTTTTGTGCCAAAACTTCAACAGAAACTGTTTTATCATCATTTTTTCGCAGAAAAATTTATGATTAATTTAAAAAAATAAAAATTTCTTAAATTTATTATTTCAGTCCAATAACATCTACTCAACGTGTTTATTTTTTGTCAATAATGACATGTATTGACTATTTCCATTCTAAATGTCTTGAGAATGGTTGCTCGTAGCAATTTTTACCAAGAGATATTTTTTACGTAAACAGTCACGGAGATTATATTTTTTACTCAGTAGTTTTATGCAGGACGAAAAGTTATTACTCTTCAAAACAGTTGAAACCTTTGAATAAGAAGACTAAGGAAGGAGTATATCAAAAATCTTAGGTACACCGCGATGGGCCTCAAATATGGCCGACTTAAATTCCGGTTTATCAGTGTCGTTCTAATTTTATTAAAAAAATGTAAAACTATGATGTAGGGTAGACGTGACGTAGACTCAATAATTTGTTGTTTTATTTTACGTTGTGAATAAATGTTGGTAATTATTAAAATTGTTATAAAAATATATAATTCTATTAAAAATAGATAAGTTATAATAAGTATTTATTACCACAAACATCCGATACGCTACTGAAGCAGGTAAGCCAAATTAACGTATCTAAATTCTTTGACATCTAATCTTTGACAAGTAATAAATAAAAGCTAAAATGCAAGAAAAATATATAATTTAGTTAATTTAAGTGAATTTCATAAATGATCGGTTTACTACACGTATGTATATTCTTTAGTCACTTACTAGCGAAAAGTTGTTCCATTATTTCACTCAATTGTTGCCGAGATCTACCGCACGCTACACAACCAACTATTTTAGAGTCCAACCAACTATTTTAGAGTCTTTTTCAGTAAATCGCGATAGTGTCACTGTTAATTTAAGTTCTGCCACAATTTCCATCTAGATTTACTACCTTTATACAACTATAAGTAGTAGAATAAATAATAAATAACATAAAATAAGCTCCATAAAGACTGACAAATCCACAAAATTTAAAATCAAATTCAAATGTGTCAAATGAATCGTCAAACAGAACTGTCAAGGATCCCCACATGATCCCCACCCTAGAGAGCTTTTATGGTGCCTTTTCCGCCCACCATGCATGAATACATGGTATATACATGGATAGCATTATCACGGCATCACGGCAGGCTAACTCTCTTTGGCGGGAACGCTACGCGCATACCGTAGCGCACGCCGCCATTAGTTTCCATCAGAGAAATAGAAGGGATAGAGAATGAGCGTCAACATGCGCAGAAGGTCTAATCAAGTTGGGCGCCATATTACAAGAGGAATGACACCTTCTCAAATCTGGAATAATCCAGATCTTCCTGTCATTTTGTATAGTAGGTGGTAATCTATAAGTAATCAAATATCAATTTGCTGTTTTCAAACCATACGGGGGGCAATTTAAATTTAGTGAAATTCTATCATTTATTATGGTTACATTAACATTAATATGATTTATTTAATTATCAGTTTCAAAACTGCATTACAATATTCAGTATATAATACACTAAATATACGAATATTCTGACAAAAGACCGCTACGGACAGATGAACTTTTTCGTCGTTAAACTACTCGAAATGATATTAAATAAGTATTTACTTAATATTTCATGTTTACAAGTACTGAATTACGCGTTTCAATTTAAAATGTTTGCAAATTTGGAAAGAATTGTTCTAAACACCTTTTTGTTCAAGTTGTATATTCATAAAAAACATTTGGTTCATAATTATTTTGATGATTACCTACCTTGTATTTTAATATAAACCTAGAAAAATATGGATATTTAAGCAGAAGGAAGATGGTACGAAGAAGTCCAGATTAAAACTGTTACATAATATGTCCTCTGACAAATATTTTCATAATACATAAACATCATTGATTTTATTAAGGGTATTATTATTAGTATTTATCCTGGAGAAATAAAAACTCAATCTTGTAATAGAACATCAATTTTATATTTCGTAAAATTATTTTGATACAAATTCAATTTGTCAAAATTCAAGTCATTAATATATTGATAAACAACCCAAATTATTCCTAAATATTTTATTATAAAAAAACAGATGTTACCGGTAAGTTTGTCAAAAACTGATTATGGTTTGTCGTAATACTAGAAAAAATCATTTATTTTTTGCGCAAAAGAAGATGAATCGATCCTTATTTGTCCATAACAAAATTCTGTGTGTACAACATACATATACCTAATTTATTATTAAGTAAAAATTAGATTATATGATCTCAGAATTTTAAGAAATTTTTTTTTAAGATAAAAGAGTTTCTTCTCAACTGTAATAATTGTCAAAAACTTTAAAAAGAATTTGAAATCATGGGATTGATACAGACTTACTAAAATACATACTGGAAGTTGGGTACCGATTAAGTGTTTATTGCATCAAATACCTTTGCTATAAATCAACTGGCCACAATTTAACGCCATTGCAAAATGCTTTTGTGAACTTCATCAGTAGATTTTACAAGAATAAAAGTGTAATATTGAAACAAAGTAACCTTGTAAGCTTCATGACTAATAGTCTCATTTTTTAACACTCTTTAAAATATCATCTGAAGTTTGACAATTAGTGCGATATTATATGATTTTTTTCTCAGTGATTTCCAAGCACAGATACAAATTAATAATATACCCCCATAACAGTTTTTAAATAAGAAAAGGTGCCTACAATTTAATTTTCTTATTGGCATAATACCCTTTCTTCCTATATAAATCTCGCCATCTTTTCAGTCCAATGTTCCTTGTTTTTACAGTTGTAGGAATACTAAAAATGTTGATTATAGAACTTCGATACTATGTTTGCAAAAGCCTTCATACCTGTAACTGTAAATAATCTAATTAACTGAATTCTCCTCCTCTTGACACTCTGAACACTGCTGCTGCTAATGTTAGAAATATTTAGGGTTAAACTACAACTACCTACAACAAACTTTACAATAAAAATGTTAAATTTTCGCTGTTCGATTAAAATACCCTCTTATGTTTTCTTAAACTCCAAATAATCTTCTTGTCAAGTAAGATCCCAATCTTAACAGACATATTTCTAGTACACTCAATGAACTTGTGCTTTCATGGACACTATAAGAGTGCACTGTTTTACAGAAGCAAGAACATTGATTCCAAGTATCTTCTTCCTCCACACGTAATAAAAACATCCTCTTTAAATGGCCACATCATACACTTATTTTTTTGACCATTCCCAATTACAATCAAAATTTTTTAAATCGCCTTTAGGAAAACTAAAATAAACGCCGTTTTGGATCATCATAAACACGATTATGTTGTATAAACTTAGTTATAAAACTAATCATTTTTCCCGGCATATTAGCTTTCTGAGAATGACTATGAGCCAATATACAATACTTTTAACGTAAATTAGTTTAAGGCAATAAGCCTTTTTGAATTAGTGTTTAGAATAATTGAGACTCTGATTGAGATAATAATAAATTTTAACTAGATAACAACACGAACGAAAAAAAAACAAAACAAACAGATGTCAATTAAAGAGGGGAAGTGACAGCGAGACCTGGAAGATGTCTGCCATCTTGCCGTCGACAAAAATTTGGATGCGCACTCGTCGAAGCTCATTCTCCCACTTCCATATCTCTGGTTTCCATCAACAGAAAGTAACCAGTGTCGTAGTTTCTTTCATCGACTGCGCACTCTTTCGGCTGATTCGAGTCAGTAGCGTACGGATTAATTTATTTTGTTTATTTCTTGAGTTATATTTTATAGTTGTTGTTTTATTTTTGAAAAATTGTTTTATATATTTATTTTCTAGTTTATTTTTCGTTTCTTATGTTATATAATTTATTTTGTTTTTCTGAACATTTTTAAATCGTTAATTTTTACGTGTTTTTAAAACGCCTGGGCGAAGTTGTGCAGCAAAAACTGGAGTAGAGGACTAAACTGCAATAAAAGTTTCTTTCTGTTTCCTAGAGATCCTATTAGGTATGTATAAATTAACGTGATCTAAATATTTTAACATATTTTAGTTAAAAAAACAGTAGTATACATATTAGGACATTCAGCTAAATAAAAAGATCTAATTAAAAATAATACAAGTTCAGCATCATATATTAAATGTTAACTAAACGTATGTACATTCTTTAGTCTTACTAAAAAGTGCAAATATTTTCAGGGCTTGCAGATCTCGATAAAAGAAACATATTTTCCCCTTACTTTTTTCAGATAAATCCAAAATAACCGAGTTATTTAAGTTTAAAAAAATGTTTTTTTTTTTAAATGTTGAGATTGAGAGCCACCGGATTTTTTTCTGTATTTGCATCCCTTTTAGTGCCACCCAACCATAGAGTAAAGCCGTAACTATGGTAATATCAGAGATTAAGAAATTACCGTGTGGGAAAATTTGCGGTGAACAGGCAATTTCAAAAAGTTTTAGAAAAATGCTCCTTCCTTAGTCTTCTTATTCAAAGGTTGAAACCTTTGAATACAGGGAAGACAAAAAAGAAAATGCACGATTTTCAATATCTTTTTAGCGTAAAAAACTCATAAACGTGTTCCTGGGGCCGAAATATACCACCCCGGTTTATCATTGCACTTATTCAAGACTCACCCTATAAAAATATAAAATATTATGTAGATTAAAACGTGTTAAATATTTAGTAGAATTTAATGTTGTATCTAGACATCAACAATAAATTTAAAAATTATTATATTATTAATTTAAAAATAAAATTATAAAAATAAATAGAAATGAGTATATCAAAAATAACAATAGATTAGTAACAAGTTAACAATACGCTTTTGAAGGGTAAGAACATTAACAATTGCATCTAAAAGACTTGATTGAAGGTAATAAATAAAGGCCCAAAATGCAGGTTGTGTATATGTTCAGTTGAATTTAAAATGTTTACCAATGATCGGTTTGTAACCGTATAAAATACAATGCGGTACCTACTTTGTTTCCTGCCATGAAAAAATAGAAGTTTTCAAAAAAATTGTGGATTTATTAATTTGTAGAATAAATAATAAATAATATAAATTTGCTACGCCCATTGATGGGCATAATCCACAAAATTTAAATCAAATTCAAATGTTCAATGAATATTTTAACAGGTATCTTTTTAATCCCCACTTGTTTGTAACTCCTGGCATGTTTTTATTAGTTGCACTTTTTTAATTTTAACCATGCATTCTCTACAGTGAAATATTTAATGGATTTTTTCATTTTTACACGGCAGTATGCGCAGGCTAACGATTCATTTGTTTGGACAAAAGTATTGTAAATAAAATTCAGTTTCAGTTCAATTACAGTATTTTTTAATACGACCCTGTCGTAGTTTCTGAGAAATTTTTAATACGTTTTGCGCCGGCCCTGACTGATTCGAGTAATGGCGCCGACAAGGTCAAATTTTATAGAAATTTTAAACAATGGAATCTGTGTAGAGTTGGCGTGCCGATTGTTTTATGTGCCGTGCCATTACCCTAGTTTATTTTCGTTTCTTGTATTATATAATTTATTTTTGTTTTTCTGAACATTTTTAAATCATTAATTTTTACGTGTTTTTAAAATGCCTGGGCGAAGTTGTGCAGCAAAAAACTGCCCGAGTAGAGGACTAAACTGCAATAAAAGTTTCTTTCTGTTTCCTAGAGATCCTATTAGGTATGTATATACATATGTGATTAATTATTTTAACATATTTTAGTTAAAAAAAACAGTAGTATACATATTAGGACATTCAGCTAAATAGAAAGATCTAATTAAAAATAATACAAGTTATTCAGCATCTATATTAAATGTTAACAAACTTATATACAGGGTGAGTCTTAAATAAGTGCAAATATTTTCAGGGCTGGCAGATCTCGATAAAAGAAACATATTTTCTCCTTACTTTTTCAGATAAATCCAAAATAACCGAGTTATTTAAGTTTAAAAAAAAAATGTTTTTTTAAATGTTGAGTTGAGAGCCACCGGATTTTTTCTGTATTTGCATCCCTTTAGTGCCGCAACCATAGAGTAAAGCCGTAACTATGGTAATATCAGAGATTAAGAAATTATACCGTGGGAAAATTTGCGGTGAACAGGCAATTCTAAAAAGTTTTAGAAAAATATACAGGGAAGTTAAAAGAAAATGCACGATTTTCAATATCTTTTTTAGCGAAAAAAACTCATAAACGTGTTCCTGGGGTCGAAATATACCACCCCTGAAAATATTTGCACTTATTCAAGACTCACCCTATACATATGTATATAAAATATTAGCAAGATTAAAATGTTAAATATTTAGTAAAATTTAATGCTGTATCTAGACATTCAACATTAAATTTAAAAATAATTATATTTTTAATTTAAATAAAATTATAAAAATAAATAAAATGAGTATATCGAAAATAACAATAGATTAGTAACAAGTTAACAATACATTTTTAGGGCAAGAACATGGGCAATTGCAGCTAATTGATAAATAGACTTGATTGAAGATATAAATAAGGCCCACAAGTACAGGTTGTGTTCTTAAAATGTTTACCAATTCACTTTGTAACCGTATTAAATACAATGCGGTACCTACTTTGTTTCCTGCCATGAAAAAAATAGAAGTTTCTCAAAAAAAATTGTGGATTTATTAATTTGTGAAATTTGAATATTAATAAAATTTGCTACGCCCATTGATGGGCATAATTTGTACGTAGCCTCTTTATATTGTTCAATAAATATTTTATTGGTATTTTTTTAATTCTTGTTTGTAACTCCTGGCATGTTTTTGTTAGTTGCATGTTTTTTAATTATTTAATTGATTTTTTCATTTTTACTTTTCGAGAAGTATGCGCGGTTAACGATTCATTTGTTTGGACAAAAGTATTGTAAATAAAATTCAGTTTCAGTCAATTACAGTATTTTTTTAATACGACCCTGTCGTATTTTCTGAGAAATTTTTTAATACGTTTTAATCCGGCCCTGACTAGGAAACCATAATGGCGCCGACAAGGTCAAATTTTATAGAAATTTTAAACAATGGAATCTGAGTAGAGTTGGCGTGCCGATTGTTTTATGTGCCGTGGCATTATGCTCCTTCCTTAGTCTTCTTATTCAAAGGTTGAAACTTATGTAGGTAGCGCCCCCTACAGATAGGAGTCATATTGATATAAAAATCAAATTTCTCATACCAAAAAACTGCCCAACACTAATTTTTATCCAAATATTGATGGTACTTCAGAAATTATTTGGAAAAAATCGAAATAAAAATGAAACTTCTACCCCCTGTGTCTCCGAAAGTAAGTATTTTAGAACATACATTTATACTAACTTTTTTACTTATTTTTATCTGCAAAATATGCTGCCGAAGTTTCCGGAATATAGTTCGGACCACCCTGTATATTAAGTAGGTATATGGTGTTAATATCTTTTATAAAAGTATTTAAATATTACAACCCTATTACAACAGCTAGTATAACTTTTTTTTATGAATAGATATTGGGTAGGTATATTTGTTATAGGAATATTTTTTATAAAATATTTAAGAAATGCATAAAAAATACCCCCATAAAATACTTGCGCTTATTCAAGAGACATCCTGTATAGTTATAACTATTCTCAGTACTAAATATCTGAATTGTAAGAACTACTCATATTTTTATTTTTTCCTTTACATACCATATCTTGTCACAATATTCATGGCCCTTGTTAAATTTTGTTGTAAAGATTTGGCTTTTTCCAAATTCGACTCCTTTATAGCTTCCAACATGCCAATAGAATATTTCGGAAAAACGTTCATCGATGTTGCAATAGCCGAATCAAATCCTAATGCAAATGCGGGTTCTATTAGCTAAAAATATTTTTCTGTTATTTAATAGATTCAGTGGCCACGTTATTGTGTCTATGCTATATCTTTGAGTGATATTTTGATTTAAAAGAAACTAAAATATAATTTAAACTCTAGCTAACTACACTCATATGCAAAAAAACGCAGCGGAGTAATTTTTGGTCAAATTTAAAGTGTTATATTTTTATTATTTTTAACCCTAATTCATGAATTTTTTAGCAAGCTCCCTATAATAATATCAATTTTAATTCGTAAACCAAGGTTTTTTTATAAACTTTAGTATTTGGCATATTATACAGGGTTAATCGAAGGGTTGTTTATTTACCCTAACTTTAAAACACCCTGTGCAATAATTTCGTATGTAAATTTTTCTAAAATATAGTTTACAGTCAGAACCATGTATCCTGAGCATTTTATTTTTTGGATCATGTCAATACATACCTTGGATGAAATGGACTGGATGAATGGAAATGGAAAATGAACTTGCCACCAACAATTTGCAATTTTTTCAATTATAATTTATTTTTGAAGTTTTTTTCAATATGACAAGGCAGCTTTAGTAATTATTATGCACTATATACTACTATTAACTGCCCATCATGTTCGACGTTTGCGAAACGCTTGGCAGGAGGGTTAGAGGTCACGAAGCGGTACCAGCTTCATTAAATGAACTTCGCTTGCTCCTTGAAGAAGAATTGGAAAGCATAACGCAATATGATATATGCAGCTCCAATGACAGTATGAATGGACGTATCAAAGGGGTATACAGGCAGTTATAGTAGCCAAGGGAGGCAATGCAAAGTATTGTATTTTTTACAATTTTTTTTCTGTTTGTATACTTGGGTATTACAGATATTTTCTTTAATATCGTTAGTTCTCTTATCTTAATGTTTATTAAAAATGTATCGTTAGTCTTTAACGTTTTTTTTTATTTAGTACAGAGTATACAATGCAGCGTAATATGACGACAATAGTCATCAAATACATCTCGTCATTAAAAAATTACATAAAAATGTAATGATAATTCAAAAAATTTGCAAATTGATCGTGATCAGTTCATTTCTGATTTATTCACTCTTAAAAATTAACCAAAGCATGTATTGACATGAATCAAAAAACAAAATGCTTAGGAGTCATGGTTCTGGCTGTAAAATTATATTTTAAGAAAATTTATACACGAAATTATTGCACAGGGTGTTTTAAAGGTAGGCTAAGAAACAACTCCTCGATTAACCCTGTATAATATGCCAAATATTAAAGTTTATAAAAAACTTAGTTTACAAATTAAAACTGATATTATTATAGAGAGCTTGATAAAAAATTCATGAAAATAGGACTAAAAATAACAAAAATATAACACTTTAAATTTGACCAACAATTACTCCGTTGCGTTTTTTTTGCATCTGAGTTTATAACAGGGTTCAGAATATTACTTATTTACAGTGAATATTGTGTAAAGTCTGTCCAACGAGGAGAATACATTACAGTGGCACAGTGGATCTTGTCTGTCGAAATCTTCCTTGCCTCGTTGAACAAACTTAATAATGAATTGTCGGTGTAATCTGAGCTATTTAGTTGGCAAAAAAGGTATTTCATATTGCCTGGATATTTTGGTTCAATATACGTATTAATTATTATACAGGGTGTCCAAATATTCCGTGGACATAGAACTCTGCTACGTAATTTTGGAATCAAAATAAGTTTATTGGGTACAATTATTTAAAGGCATCAAACTTAAAAAAATAAATACATTTTTTAAGATGTTTTAAGAACAGTGGCACAGTGGATCTTGTCTGTCGAAATCTTCCTTGCCTCGTTGAACAAACTTAATAATGAATTGTCGGTGTAATCTGAGCTATTTAGTTGGCAAAAAAGGTATTTCATATTGCCTGGATATTTTGGTTCAATATACGTATTAATTATTATACAGGGTGTCCAAATATTCCGTGGACATAGAACTCTGCTACGTAATTTTGGAATCAAAATAAGTTTATTGGGTACAATTATTTAAAGGCATCAAACTTAAAAAAATAAATACATTTTTTAAGATGAATGAGAAAATTCCAATTTGAATGAGATTTGATTTGAACTTTCACAAAAATCAAGAAAATATACGGGAAGGGTGAACTACCTCCACCCCTACATAAATTTTAGTCGAAATATTTTCCAACTGTACCGACGACTCATTTTTTCATAAAATGGTCCTTCTAATATTTATTACATTTTTTGCCTCTTGTAAGAAAACGGCACCGAATTACGAAATCACAACTCGGAGCCGCGTTTAAAAAAATGTATTTTCAAAAATTACAGTTACAATATTTAAATTTAGTTAAAGGTTGAGTACAATAACAGAGAATAATCAGGAATGTCAATAGTGTGAGAACATTTTGTTTTTATATGGAAATACAGCCATTACTCGCTGACGAGTATTCGACACACATCAGAAGATGGTCACGCAAGGCGTTTTCTTTGGTTTGGTTTCCAATAGTTTTCAATAGTTAGGCAGGGATGTGTCTTAGCGCCTCTCCTATTCAACATATTCATGGCAGCGCTCTCCATTATAGTGGACAGCAAACTGCAGGAGCCTTAAGCTAAACATCGACAAAACCAAAATCATGTGCACTCCTCCGGAAGATTACAACAATGCTATAAAAATCGGAGAAGAACTATTGGAATATGTGGCGGAATTTAATTACCTCGGCAGTTTGATTTCGGAAAAGACCAATATTGACTCTGAAATTCAGCACAGGATTAGCAGCGCCTCAATAGCATTCTGGAAATTAAAAGACAGGGTTTTCTACAATCATGACTTGTGTACAAAAACGAAACTTGCATTGTACCGAGCAATTATAATCCCCACCATGTTATATGGGAGTGAAACCTGGGTGCCGTACCGCCGTCACATGAACGCATTACACAAGTTGCAACAAAGACACCTTAGACAACTCTTAAGGATCCGATGGTTCCATCATGTCTCAAACGTATCGGTCCTTGAAAAAGCTAATTGCGAGAGTATTGAAGTTATGGTTACAAAATCCCGCTTAAGATGGGCTGGTCACGTATGCAGAATGCAAGAAAACCGCATACCAAAATCTCTGCTTTACGGTGAGCTTGTAGACGGTAACAGGAGGCCGGGTGGACAACTCAAAAGGTTCAAGGATATTTTCCACGAAAACTTAAAGGGGATTAACATGCAGAATCATTGGGAAGAAGCAGTTCACAATAGAACTCAATGGAGAAGAATTGTAAACTCAGTTAACAGCGACAACCAAAAAGTAAAGAGGCAACAAAGCAATGAGATTTTTGAATGTCCGGAGTGTTATGTTTTCAGTCACAGAAAAGCTCATGAAAGATATGGAAATAACTGCTTATTCAGGAGAAGATAATCCTCTGCAGATATTCTTCTGTGTATACTGCATATCCTTGATTCACTCGGATACGTACCTACCGCGCATACTTTTTGAAAAAAAAATATCTAGTTATTAGACTTACACAAATATTTTTGGCATACCTACCATACATATTAAGGTGTCCGTTATTTACAAAGTTGATCATTTCTCTCACGACGCCCTCTAAATTTTTAATTTATTGTCTAAAAAAATAACAGACCATTGTAAACCCTTAATATTCACAATAAACCTTGCCCCAAAGACAATTTATTTCCCATTTAAATTACATGGAAATTCGCCACTTTTTGTAAATATTTTTTTTTCTGTCGATCTTGTTCTCTCGCAGACAATCGCACATTCTTGAACGCCCTACAAAAAAGTATCTTTCGATTTATTATAATTTTCTTCCAAGTACTTTTAGTGATTTGAATGGAATTTTGAGGATAAAAGTTACTATGAGTGTTACATATTTTAATGCTAAAAAAGTGTTAATAAATGCATCAGGGACGTACATATGTGTTATCACTGGGATATTTTTCCAAAAAAAACATATGCGCCACTGACTTTATTCTTTTGATATCAAAATAATTGTGTAGCTCGTTTAATACCAATTAAATATTATCTCTTGATATTTTGTCGAATTCGGCCTCCTTGATTAGGTATATAAACGTAATTTTATTAATCGCATTTAATAAAATTAAAATAAAACTAAAATTAACAAATTATATATTTTACCTAATGTATTATTAAATGTTACTATTAGTAGTTATTATTACTATTAGTCCAACCTACAGCAATTTCAAATAAAAATTAATGGTATTTAACATAATTACAAAAATCCTGCAACTATAAAACTATGCATTTCTATACCCATGTTTAAAAGAACTTTTTTCATATTTTTTGACGAGGAATCAATGAGTACCTACTTAAAGCTTTCGTAAGTTAATTATATTAACGTTTTTTAAAGGTTGCTATTTATATATAATTAATAAAACTGCGTTTATCTCATCAACGAGGCCGAAATCGACAAAATATCAAGAGACAACTTTTAATCGACATTAAACTGCTTACACTATTTTGCTAAAAAGAGAAAAAAGGTCAGTGGCGTACATGTTTTTTTTAGAAAAATATTGAGAGGCAACAAAGCAATGAGATTTTTGAATGTCCGGAGTGCGGTAGGCAGATAACATCACGTATCGGGCTTTTCAGTCACAGAAAAGCTCATGAAAGAAAACGCCTTGCGTGACCATTTTCTTTATGTGTGTCGAATACTCGTCAGCGAGTAACGGCTGTATGTATGTATGTATGTATTGGAATCGCTAAAAGCATTTGGAAGAAAATTAGAATAAATCGAAATATTAAGATTTTAACACCCTGTAGCTACGAAACAAAGCAGAATCGGACTTATATTGATATGAAAAATAAATCTTATTTTTACGTGAGGAATCTCTCCACGAGAGATGGCACATGTTTTTTGAAACACCCTGTAGAGGTAAATTCATAGAGAAAGTAAATAAAAGTAGTACCCTTGTAGTACCTTTTTATTATCTTTCTTTATAGGTAAATTGCGTCCAATTTGGTTATTTTGATTCCAAAAATACGTATTAGTTCTATATCCACGGAATATTGGAAGACCCTGTATGTTATTAAAGTTTAAAACTCGGCGAAACATGATACATTAAGCAAGCTTCTTTATTACTTACATAATCTCCCCCAATAAATACCCTATATCGCCCATGAGCTGCTTTTAGAGCCGCATAACCTCCAGCTAGATCATTTGAAGTATATTTGATACCTTTGAGGTTTGGTACTTGACTAGCTGCTTGTTCAAGGAAATCAGCCATATCAACTAAAAATTAGTTCAAATTTTATAATCTACATATTATAGTGTAACATGCATGTATTGTTACACTATATTTAGAATATAATGAAAGTTTATTGTTTATTTTATTGTTACAATTTCATACAGACAAATAAAACAGCATATCAAAAAAAAACAGTTAATACAAATGAATTATTATTGCTTAACTGATATTCAGTCTTATAATATTTTCGATTTAAATTGTTATATCTTCGATAAGTACGCGAAGGTAATTGTCTCAACCTTCTAATTCAAATCAAAGTGCACTGAAAATATCTATAAAACTGTGTTTTTTCGATTTAGCCACCAGTCTCTCTGCTATTTCAAACGTCATATCCTTTTTTCGCCTTTTACTCAACAACCACTTCCATTGCTATGTAGTATGCAAACTTGATACAATGTCCGCCAAAAGTAATTGGAATTTTTTTATTAAGTTATCAAATAAAAATATGACATTATCAATTCACCCTAAAAATGTTGTTTACATACGCAACAGTGACCTCTGAATACAGAGGCGGATGCTATGTAGTATGCAAACTTGATACAATGTCCGCCAAAAGTAATTGGAATTTTTTTATTAAGTTATCAAATAAAAATATGACATTATCAATTCACCCTAAAAATGTTGTTTACATACGCAACAGTGACCTCTGAATACAGAGGCGGATCTAGACATAATATAACTTCACTTCTGAGCCTTCTTAGGTTTTAATAGCGACCTAAGAAGTGAAGTTATATTATAAAATATCAAAAAAGAACCAGTAAGAAAGGTTGTTGAATATATATTTTCTTTTCTTTATGCTACTGTAAGATGATAGTTATTCTGAAATTTGATGAAAAATTTGACAGTGTAATATGCAATATTTTATAAAATTATGTATATTACACTATCAATTTTTTCATCAAAGATCTTTTATAAACGACCTTTAACAAAGAAATGTAATAGTCTAAGGCCGCACTATAAAATTTATTTGTCAAAGATTTTATTTATAAAATATATTTTATGAAGAATTTGATAGTATAATATGTGTGGTTTTATAAAATGTTGTATTAACACTATCAAATTTTTCATCAAATATCTTTTATAAAAGATCTTTTGTATATATGATCTTGTGTAATAGTAGTCTAATACCGGGCTTTTAGACTATAAAACATATTTTTTGAAGAATTTGACAGTGCAATATGTATGATTTTATAAAATATTACCGACCGAAAAGATATATTATGAAGAATCTGGCAGTGTAATATACAATATTTTATAAAATGTTAGAGTTTAGTTTACAATATTTTATAAAATATTGAATATTACACTGCCAAATTGTTCATCAAATATTTTTTATAAAAGATCTATTGGAAAGAAATTTTATAGTGTAATACAGGCCTTATAAAATTTAACTTTGAATCCATGAAATGTAGTCACATGACATATATTTTTTTAATATGGGTATAGGACATGCTGGACTAATTCTACAAAAAAATTTATTTGGTAAATCAATAATAAAGATTTATCTCTATATTGCAAATACGCAGCAACTTCAAGATATTGATAAATTAATCTTGCGAATAATTAAATTTGATATTTATAGTGATTGGGAAATTGTCCACTGTTTAAAACTTTATATTCAGAATAGAAATTTAGACCCACCCGCCCCTGACGAGATATCGAAAACATTCTAAAAGAAACGTTCTTCTTGTTATTGGATATTTTAGTCCTTGTTTAGACATTGTTTCCCCTAGATACAGATTTTCCTTTCTGTTAGAGAATTTAAAAACATATACCGACCTGGTCATTTTAGAACTGTGCTCTGGATTTTAACGTGTAAGACAGAGAATAATATAAATCACCGGTTGATAGACAGAGAGACAAAATAAAAAGCGGCATACAGTGTTGCCGGTTTTTACGTTTGTAGGAAAATGTGTATAGAAGAAAATAAATTATTTTAAAACTTTCATGTATACTACTGAAATGAGGATAATATATCTAAGCTAAATAAAATCCATTACAGCTGTAGTAAAATGAGTTACTAATTGTGAAAAATAAAGTTCCAAACCTAGATGCAACATTTTTCGGAAATTCAACTCACCTTTTTTCTTTCTTTAATACATTTGATTTGCCATTACACTGCCTACAGCACTGTCTTATACGTTAAAATCCAGACCACACTTCTAAAATGTCCAGGTTAATATAGCAATTTCTTTTCACCAAAACAAAATAAAAGAAGTGCAAAACGTTGGGCGGATGACATTAGGGAATTGGCAGGTAAAGGTGGTTAAATTCAGCACAAAACAGGGAAACATGGAGAAGGGTAGGAGAGGCCTATATTCAGAGTGGATAAATGCAGTTTAAGGAAGATATAGCAAATATAATCCCTCTGCCTGTAGATACGCCCCTGTGTACGATGTTATGCAAAAGGACTATATTGAAAAATGTCTCACTATAGAAGACGATATCACAAGATATACAAAAAATTGCGAGAATTCCATTTGCCGAGATGCAAACTTTTTTCTTTATTAACTTACTGTTTACTGATGTATGTCCTGGATTATGATAATACAGCAAAGGAGTATTAGGTGCAGCTGCACTAATAAACCTAAGATAGCTTATCAGTTCTTGTGGCTTCTTCGGCTTGAAATACAGTTCCGGCATGGTGAGGATTGAATCAGCACCGGCGATTTCAGCATGTCTAGCTAATTCCAAGACATCTGGAAATGGTGCACCCCCAACCTGAACCATCAGATGTTGATGAGTCGACTTAACCGCCTGAGCCCAGGCTTCTGTCAAGTTTTTTCGCTCTTTGACTGATAAAGATGTGCCTTCACCACTGGTAGCACCAACTAAAATGGAAGTAGTAGTTAAATGAAGATTTTTTTCGGATAGATGATGAATATACTTACTTAAGACCCCATGTATACCCGAGTCTGATAAGAAATTAGCATAGCTAGGAACCTTTTCTACATTTATCGAACTAAAAAATATATTCCATGAAAAATTTGGCAATATTATAAATTGACATATATATTTTAAGACTTTTATAATTACAATTACAAAATATAGAAATTATAAAGAATTCATTACACTTGTGCGGCAATCTTCTCTCAAATTACCTAACTATACAGCGTCCGGCAATAATGCATCTGTAGCTCTTAGAATAAAAAACATGAGAATTTTGTTTAAGTGCGAACCTAAAATAGGTACTAGAATGTATTTCAGAAAAATATTTTAATTTCTACAGGATGGCCTAAAAAAGTGTATTGGGATGATTGTTTTTAAATGGTATATTATTGTATTTTTGGCTTTTTTCCAGATCACTTTAATATATAACATAATCGTAAGATATCAGTAAATATATTTCGATAGTTTCAGAGCGGCAATACAAGAACTGTTCTGAAATCAAAACTATAGTAGGTATTTCTTTTAGATGGTCTGTACTTACTTTGCTATAAATATAGTAATCTTAAATCATACAGGATGCTCAAAATTCTACTTTAATCTTTCTAAAATATAAAATAATTTTTCTTAGTTTTCTTAAACGGAACAAATAAAATATTGAACACCCTCTATGATACGTATAGCAAAGCGCAAACTAAGTATAGACCATCTAAAATAAATACCAAATATAGTTTTGGTTTCAGGAAAGTTCTTGTTTTTGTAATATTTTTTTTAAGAAAGGCTGAAAAAATATATTAATTTTTATTTATTTATTAATATCTCTGAAACTATCGAAATATATTTACTCATATCTTAGGATTATGTAAAGTGATCTGAAAGGTAGCCAAAAATGCGATAATATAAAGGGTGTTCCATTTAAAAAGAGCCATCCCGATCCACTCACACTTTTTTGAGCCACCTTGTAGATGTTAAATTATTTTCCTGAAATACATCCTAGCAGATACTCTAGGTTTGCACTTAAACAAAATTCCCAAGTTTTTTATTCATCATATGTTATCATTATTATTACCTAATTACTATTATTATAGTTAACAGGAAAACTCTGTATTTTATGTAAAAAATTAACACTGTGTAGGTATTTATTAATGGTTTTTATTCAATTTTATATTTTTTTAATGCATACTTATTAAGAGGTAAATCAATCCTAAAAGCACAAAATCAAAATTTTATAAAAAAATTATAAAATTATAAAATTATTATGAAAAAAAAACAAAATCAAAGCATGCTGATTTACAATAAAATTGTAATATTGTATATGTAATATATATTTCTTTAATTACAAAACTTACAAATCTGGGTTGAATATCGTAAAAACGGGAGCCATAATCCCGATAAAAGTAAAATTAAGCTAAAAACAAAAAATAATATTTTTTAGAATATCAATTATAATTTAGTTTTATAAAATTAAGATACTACTTACCAGCATTTTGTAAGCGTTTTTCCATCAATTCACTGCACAAATCATAAACGGTCATTAAAAAAACTAATTTGATTTGTCGCGGTTGCGGATTAAAAACAACACTCTTTTCACATAAATTAAATTCAGCCTTCAAATAATTTACAAAAGGTAAAAGTGAAATCTGATTTCTCTGAATGAATTGGTAACCTTTAGCGGCAACGTGAAGTAGTAGCGTGTCTTAAAAATATGAAAATAAAATACGCATCTGCAAAGTATTCTTTTACCTGCTTTAAAGAAATCGTAGAGGGATACCCCCCATAAGTAATGATGGATAAGTTAAATTTTACAGAAGTCCAGCATAGAGGTGCGAATTCTAGTTCCTTGGGAGGAACTAGTTCCTTAGTTCTAGTTCCTCCAGAGGAACAGTTCCTTAAAATAGGTCTTTAGTTCAAAATAGTTCCCGACTAACATTGACATTCCCACCAGGGCCATGTAAGTGAAATATTAAAAATGGTTCCAGCAAAAGTTTCCCAATTATGACGGATGATGGCGCTGATCGTCAAATTTTTGGACAGGGATTTTGCTTACCGACAATACGACGTGAGCTACGACCGGACCAGGACCAATCAGAATGATCAGTCTTTCTTGGACATTTGCCGCGGACGTGTGTGTTTCGGAGATATAAATTTAATCGGGCCTTTCTAAGAAAATTAATTTTATTTTTCAGAAACTATTTGAGACAGTCTACCAAAAATGCTTTTATATCTACTAGTGGGTAAATGAATTTGTAGATATATTACGACTTTCTTGGAACTGTAGTTTCGGAGATATAAATTTAATCGGGCCTTTTTAAGAAAATTAATTTTATTTTTCAGAAACTATTTGAAACAGAGTTTACCAAAAATGCTTTTTATATCTACTAGTGGGTAAATGAATTTGTGGATATATTACGACTTTTCTTGGAACTTTAGTTTCGGAGATATAAATTTAATCGGACCTTTTTAAGAAAATTAATTTTATTTTTCAGAAACTATTTGAAACAGAGTTTACCAAAAATGCTTTTTTATATCTACTAGTGGGTAAATGAATTTGTGGATATATTACGACTTTTCTTGGAACTTTAGTTTCGGAGATATAAATTTAATCGGACCTTTTTAAGAAAATTAATTTTATTTTTCAGAAACTATTTGAAACAGAGTTTACCAAAAATGCTTTTTTATATCTACTAGTGGGTAAATGAATTTGTGGATATATTACGACTTTTCTTGGAACTTTAGTTTCGGAGATATAAATTTAATCGGACCTTTTTAAGAAAATTAATTTTATTTTTCAGAAACTATTTGAAACAGAGTTTACCAAAAATGCTTTTTATATCTACTAGTGGGTAAATGAATTTGTGGATATATTACGACTTTTCTTGGAACTTTAGTTTCGGAGATATAAATTTAATCGGACCTTTTTAAGAAAATTAATTTTATTTTTCAGAAACTATTTGAGACAGAGTTTACCAAAAATGCTTTTTATATCTACTAGTTTGTAAATGAATTTGTAGATATATTACGACTTTTCTTGGAACTTTAGTTTCGGAGATATAAATTTAATAGGACCTTTTTAAGAAAATTAATTTTATTTTTCAGAAACTATTTGAGACAGAGTTTACCAAAAATGCTTTTTATATCTACTAGTGGGTAAATGAATTTGTAGATATATTACGACTTTTCGTGGAACTTTAGTTTCGGAGATATAAATTTAATCGGACCTCCAGTTCCAAGGGGGTGAAACCACCCCTCACATATTACAATATTTTTTATTTAAAAAACGGTAAAGTTTCCGAAAAAACGCTTAAATACGTATATTTTATTTTGTTTTTTTACATATTTTAAGACTTTTTAAAAGTGTATACAGGGTGTTTCGAAAAATCTGGTCATTCATTAATCACGATCCTGCTTAAAGCGCTTGACGTAAAAAGCTGATTTTTGAAAAACAGATTGACTTTAGGGTGTAGAGGTTCGATAAGAAGGGATTTTTCGAAACTCGTTTTTCGGAAAAACTCTTAAACAAGTATATTTTATTTTGTTGTTTTACATATTTTAAGATTTTTTAAAAATGTATACCTACAGGGTGTTTCATAAAATATGACCATTGAGTAATCACGATTCTCCTTAAACTTCTTGACGTTTAAAGCTGATTTTTGGCAAACGGATTGACTGTGAATCTCAAATTCCAAGAGGGTGAAATAAACGCCCCTCAAATATTACAATATTTGTTATTTAAAAAACGGTTAGTCTTTCGGGAAAACGCTTGGACACGTATAATTTATTTTGTTTTTTTACATATTTTTAAATTTTTTAAAAAAATCATACAGGCTGTTCCAAAAAGTTGGGTAATTGATTAACCACGATTCTGCTCAAACTGCCAAAATATAATAATATCGCCATATTGTTTTTTCTCATGCTGACATAAACGTGAGAAAATTTTATCCAGTATATATGTTAATGGCAATTCTTGCTTTGCTTTATCATCGCCATTACAAATGATTAATTCGACGCGAACGAAGTCGCGGGTACACGCTAGTATCATATAAATTGTGTAATGTAATAAATTGATGGATGAAGTTTGTCTTATTAGAGCATTTAAATAATAGCTTATTTTCAAAAGTTTTTTTATAATTAATAATTGTATTTTCAACTTTTTAGTTTTCTCTTAATCATTACAGTTGGGGGTTGGAACCTTTGGTGTTACACAGCAAAATAAAAAGCATCATCAGCAGATGATTAAACTCTAATCATCTGCTGATGATGCTAACATGGTTAGCGAAACGCACGTTCAGTGTAAAAGTAAAAGTGTTTTGGTGTATTGTGGTGATTTAGTATTTTTATTTTGCTTTCTCTTAATCGGTGCATTTTTATAAATGCATCATTATTGAAATACGTGATGATCGTATCGAACGATTGAAAAAAAAACGGCGTCGAAGACGGCTGGGGAATGACAATCGATAATAATTTTGGCAAGGTCAAGCTCTAGACGTCATGTACTTGGCCCGTATTCTTCTTTATTTTTTACTGCCAGTTGGTCTTAAGAAGGTTGTAATTTATTTTTATATTGAGTAAAAACGATTTTAAATAGTGTAGTTTAAAATTCGAGAAAAACAATATTTTAGAAATGGGTTTGTGTCTAGAAACGTTTTTATTAATAATTAATTTTTATTATAAATGTCTATTATTTAGTAATAAGGAACAAAATACTAAAATTTTTGTCTGTATTTCTCGAGGTATTTCTGGTTCCAGAAGCTTTACCGCAGTTTTTTTTTTAATATTTATTGTTGAGATCTATGCTATGATCTCTCTAATACAAATACCTTTAAAGATCTAATAATAAATCTATACAAAATACCTTTAAAGATCTAAAATAAATCTATACAAATACCTTTAAAGAATAAACAGCAGTGACGGCTTGTCAGGGTAGGCAAGGTAGGCAGCGCCTACCCTAAGATTTTGGCAGAATTTAAGCGATTTATTACATTACATCATTTACTAAAGTAAACGCCATGAATGTTTGGGAGTGATTCATCGGTCGCTACCATGTGAACTAATCTGTTCAAGGTCACATGAAACTTAATTCCAGTGCCGATATATATAATAATCGATATATAATCTGTTGTAATTTGTTGTTTTAACTGTCAAAGTCTTGTCAAAACATATATTTGTTTATAAATATAAACTGGAATGCCCCATTGATCGCACTGCAAGCACACCAATGGACTGACGCTCAAAAACAAATCAATCAAAGAAACGCGATATAGTATCGTCTTTGTCAATCACGCTAACATTTTAGAATAAGTAGGAGGAGCGCAGGCAGATGATTAGACCGGGCCTTTAAAAACCTACGTCTGCGGTAAAAATTTACGTTTTTGATGTAAAAATGATAGGGCGCGTGTCGATTCTAACTTCATCATGCGATGAATCACTCCCAAACATTCGTGGCGTTTACTATATTAATGTTGCCAATACATAAAAATACTGTTAATATACGGAAGTGTGTTTTAATAATCAATATTATTTTAATATTTGTGGTCTTGTATATTAACGATATTAACATATTCACTACCGCTGGCGTACGCTGACCGCTGACTGTGCCGCTGCGATAGAAAACAAAATAATTTTGACCGTTGGAGTGCCTTTGTTCGGCGATTTCTACATCGCCTACTATCAGAGTCGATGCACGACGTACGGCAGTCTTCTGTCTCTGTCTAACTCATTGTGCGGTAGCGACGCGACGTAAGTCGGAGTTGTATCATATTAAGGCGGGGCTTAGGCGAAATCTCCGGTCGCCTTCGCATGAAGTCGTGGAGGCTCGGTAGGCTTAGATGTTAAGGGGATATTCCGGATATTTCATAAGGAGATATATCACATTTCGTTAAGGGGATATTTCATATGATTCATTATACGTAGCATTTAAAACTTTTACATGAAAATTCCAAAAACATTTTTGGGCTTGTTCGAAATTATTAAAAATAATATAACCGGTTGTATTTCAGAACACGCCACAGAAATAAAAGAGTCCGAAATAAAAAAGCGCCGTTATTTTATTCGGTACAACAGATATTACAGAAAAGTCTCTGTGCTATTTCAATCCGATATGTTAATAAAAGTCAAATATCTTTGCGAATTCTATTTTATGAAATATTAGATAACATTGTTATACATTTAGAAATAAGGTTTGCAGATAGGTACACGTATGTCTCAATTATTTTTATTTATCTCTTGCGCATCCGAAATTTAAAGAATCCTATAAAAAGTTGTGTTATGTTTTTAACCCAGAGATAACATATATTTACAAACTGGGCAGGGTATTATGTAAATAGGGGGGGGGGAGGGCAAAATAAACGCAATTAAAATTTTGTCGCCTACCCAGTCACACGGGTCACGAGCCGCCACTGATATACGCAATGAGAGGATTTATGTTCCGGTATTGGAAAGACAAAAATCGAAAGTGTATAGTTTGAGGACAAAGTTCATCCTTATTTAGTAAATGGATTTAATACACATGCGCCGAAATGCTGTTCTCCTATTGGTCGAATGGTTTGAATTTTTTGAACTCAATTGATTTTTGGTCCAATTTTTGTTTCATTTCTTTTCAGCAAATACTCGTACGTTAAATTTTAGAGTCTTCTTTAAAGGTATGTATTTGCTGCATGACGGTGGTGTTATAAAACCCTTTTAATCGTTTTTAGTCCTTTTTATGATCGAAAAAGAACGGGGTCAGTAGGGTTTCCAAATTTAGGGATCGGGATCCCATTTTGAAATCCTGTAATCGCAGAACCCCTGCATTGACTATCAGAATGAGAAATTTAATCTAAAGAAATACAGGTACATAATATATCAAAAAGAAAATGAGAAAAGAGCTTTAAGTATTAAAATGGACAAAACAAAGTAACATTCATATTCAGTATGTAAAAAAATACAATTCTTGTTGCTAAACAAAATATAATATAGCAAACACGAAAATATATTTTTTCCATTTACATTTTTCAAGATTTTCGGGTTCCCGGGATTTCGGGAATAAATATACACCAGGATCCCGGAATTCCGGTTTGGAAACCTTGGGCGTCAGCGATGGCTATGAATGAAAATCACGGTCATTTTATATGTAAAACTAGCGTGTACCCGCGACTTCGTTCGCGTCGAATTAATCATTTGTAATGGCGATGATAAAGCAAAGCAAGAATTTCCATTAACATACATACTGGATAAAATTTTCTCACGTTTATGTCAGTATGAGAAAAAACAATATGGCGATATTATTATATTTTGGAAGTTTGAGCAGAATCGTGGTTAATCAATTACCCAACTTTTTGGAACACCCTGTACGATTTTTTTTAAAAATTTCAAAATATGTAAAAAAACAAAATAAATTATACGTGTCCAAGCGTTTTCCCGAAAGACTAACCGTTTTTTAAATAACAAATATTGTAATATTTGAGGGGCGTTTATTTCACCTTCTTGGAATTTGAGATTCGAGAAACCTACCTTATCGAACCTCTACACCCCACAGTCAATCCGTTTCCCAAAAATCAGCTTTAAATGTCAAGAAGTTTAAGCAGAATCGTGATTACTCAATGGTCATATTTTATGAAACACCCTGTAGGTATAAATCCGAAAAACTCACCGGTTTTTAAATAAAAAATATTCTAATATTTGTTTCACCCCCTTAGAATTCGAGTTTCGAAAAATCCCTTCTTATCGAACCTCTACACCCTAAAGTCAATCCGTTTTTCAAAAATCAGCTTTTTACGTCAAGCGCTTTAAGCAGGATCGTGATTAATGAATGACCAGATTTTTCAAAACACCCTGTATACACTTTTAAAAAAACTTAAAATATGTAAAAAAACAAAATAAAATATACGTGTTTAAACGTTTTTTCGGAAACTTTACCGTTTTTTAAATAAAAAATATTGTAATATGTGAGGGGTGGTTTGGAACTGGAATTTCGAAAAATCCCTTCTTATCGAACCTCTACACCCTAGAATCAACCTGTTTGCCAAAATTGAGCTTCTTACGTTGAGTGGTTTGAGCAGGATCGTGATTAATCAGTGAGTCAGTCACTTAAGGATTTTATATATTAGTACAGATTATATGGGGAATGTCATCGATCGTCATTTCCAAGCCAAATGGACGCCGTTTTTTTCGATCATGCGGTACTAGATTGGCAGAAATGGAAAATATATAAAAATAAAGTAGGTAGGTATTATAATATAAAAATATATTTAATATTATTCAAGAAAAAATACAATAAAGAATTCTCGTCAAAGCAGCAGCCATTTTTAATGATATTGGTCTCGGGAGTTCTTAAAGTTTAGAGAAACCTCTTCAGTCCTGAGTGAAGTGTTTTGATCTGATCTTCCGTTAAGTTTCTCAGAGGTGGCCTTGCTAAACCAACGTTAATTGGAGTAACGAAATTCATGGCTGCCTTCATAGTTGGAACCCAAGCACCTACAACGATCCAAAATTAATATTTTATTTTGCTAAAATCGTCTAGTATGTCTATAGCTACGTTATAGTATATCCAGTGAGAGAATACCATACAATACAAAGTTGGCTTGGAAATGAAAACCGCTATCATTTTATATGTAAAATTATACAGGGTATGAAGAGTAATAACTTTTAGTCCGTACCGTCCGTACCTGATGTATACCGCTACTGAGTAAAAAAATATTAATTTACGACATTTTTTTACGTAAAAAAGGTCTCTTTGGAAAAATCGCTACGAGTAATGGTTCTTCAGATATATATATATATATATATATATATATATATATATATATATATATATATATATATATATATATATATATATATATATATATGCTACAGTAAGGGTTCTATATATATATATATATATATATATATATACGTTATATTATATATATATATATATATTATCATTTTCTTTCTGAAATCTTAGCGAAGAAAATATATCCAAATTGGTTTCCACACACATAACACAAACATATCAATAAAGTCGTCACAATTTTTGCACAGAGACATACACATTTAATGGATTTTACAACACTTAAGTGTTGTAAAATTTCAGAAAGAAAATGATAAGTTGTAATAAGTAAACAATCTACGTTCAAGTAATAAATTTTGATAAAGATCCTACCAGGTCGAAACGTCATGAAATATATATATATAAAAATAATATATTTTATATATATATTTTTACCTGACCTAAAGCCAAGAAAAATTATAATAAAATATATATATTGAGAGGTCACAGAATATATATATATATATATATATATATATATATATATATATATATATATATATATATATATATATATATATATATATATATATATATATATATATATATATATATATACTATGCTACGAGTAAGGGTTCTTGGAATCGAAATTATCAATACCTGCAATCACTGACATAAATTAAACATGTTGACTAAATATAGTTTATTAGACTGAAATCATAGATTTGAAATGTTTTTGTGCCAAAAGTTCAACAGAAACTGTTTTATCATCATTTCTTCGCAGAAAAATTTATGATTAATTTAAAAAAATATTTTTTTTATTTAAATCAAATAATAACTATCTACTCAACGTATTTATTTTTTGCCAATAATGACATGTATTGACTATTTCCATTCTAAATATCTTGAGAATGGTTACTCATAGCGATTTTCACAAAGAGACATATTTTACGTAAAAAGTCACGGAAATGTATATTTATTTCACTCAGTACTTTTATACAGGTACGGACGAAAAGTTATTACTCTTCAAAACAGTTAAAACACATGTAGGTGACACCCCCTACAAATAAGAGTCATATTGAGTTCAAAATCAAATTTCTTATGTCAAAAAACTCGCAGATACTAATTTTCATCCAAATATTGACGTTATTTCGGAAATTATTTGGAAAAAAATCGAAATGAAAATGAAACTAAGCATTTTAGGACATACATTTATACGATTTTAATACTTATTTTTATGTCAGCATAGCAGCAAAATGTGCTGCCGAAGTCTCCGCAATACAGTTCGGACCACCCTGTATAGTGAATATCACCCATCGTCATCCCCAAACTAACATGACGCCGACATTACCAACCTGACATTATTAAAATTACTTGAAATAAATAATCTACTTTTGAATTAACATTTAACAAACAACAACCATTTCTATCATATACAGGGTGAGTTTCCTACGATGTTCTCTATGGGTATCTCGGAAACTACTGGAGATAGAGAGTCGGTTAAATGGGGAAAGGCAGTTTTGTGGGGTCATAAATATGCGCCTTTCAGATTTTTGAAAAAGTTCATGGCTTACTAGATATTTCGAAAAAAAACAAATTTTGGCTATTTTAAAAATTGTCCGTAATTCCATTATAAGCTATTTTAGACAAAAAGTTTTCAGATAAAAGTTGTAGATAATCACATCCTTAGTGAGACTGTGTTCTCTGTTTTTTTCTAAAGCCTGTCATTTTTGACATATGACACAAACATAGGTTTGTTAAAATAGAAACCATAGTTGGCCATGACTTCATAAAAAGCGCCATTTTTTAAGCTTTTTAGTGATGTAAGCTATAATATCTTTTCTTCGAAAAATTACTGAGTTACAGCCAATTCTTATCATTTTTAAACAATTTCACTTAGTTAGCCATGGAAACAAGTTCAATCGCCGTTGTTCTCAGAAATGTGAAGCTGTCACATCCAAACTTTGTAAATTAAAATAAACAAAAATTGTAAATATTGTTACGTTTTTGGTTTGGTTTGGTTTGGTTTGTTCGTGTGGATAGAAAGTCACAATTTATTTAAACACAATTTATTTACACTAAGTAACAAACAATAACGATTAAAAAAAAGACTTAAAGAACTATTTATAACTTATTTACAATTTATCTAACTATTTATCTAAAAGGAAATAGGAATTAAAAAAAAAGGAATTAGCGCGGCGATTGCAACTGTACGCGTCGACCGGTTGCTTTTCTCTGTCCTCTTCCGGCTTCAGGCCCCGGCTTATATAGGAGAGAAACAGACAATCCAGATTTGTCTCGAGAATTCTTAGCCGCGTTCTTAGAACGTCGTCGAGCGTATGAGTCGTAGCAGAGTGGCCAGGCCTAAGGCCGAGTTCACACGGGTCCGCAACAATATGAATTTTTCAAATGAGGAAAAGCGTGTAGATACTCGCGCATCAATAAAGTGGTTCCAACATGACTTTCATTATGACACACCACCCAATATTTATATCATAATTATACAAACGCAGGGATAGGAAGAGGTGGACTAATTACATGGGCCTCCCCGATCACCTGACCTATCCATGTTATAATTTTTTTATGCGGTATAGTTAACAATAAGGGTTACAAAAGAACTTATGAATTAAGAGAGGCGCTCGAAGTGGCGGTACGAGAAAAGTTTAATTAAGTCGACCGGTCCTTCTGTAGGAATAGTGTTACATTTTTCGTCGGTTCCGTGTGGATAGAAAGTCACAATTTATTTAAACACAATTCATTTAACACTAATTAACAAACAATAACGATTAAAAAAACTTAAAGAACTATTATAACTTATTGTTACGTTTTTCGTCGGTTCCGTGTGGATAGAAAGTCACAATTTATTTAAACACTATTTATTTAACACTAATTAACAAAAACAATAACGATAAAAGACTTATAGAACTATTTACAAACGATTTATAACTAAGAATTTATTTTTAATTTTCGCGCGTCAACTGCACTGGTATATTTATAACTGCCCTCTGTAGGCCACCGCCGCCGGCTTTTATACCGACAGGTAAAGAACTCTAGAATTGTCCATAGATCGTTAGGTGCGTAGAGAAGGTTTTCGAATGTTCTCGTATGTACTAGTCCATTCCAGTGGGACTCGATTTTTCTCGAACGAATGAATCATTGCGGTGTCTATGCGATGTTAAGGTCATCCGAGGGCGGGCCATATTGTGGAGGTTAGGTCGAGTCCACACCGGCTCGCAACACTGCCCCCTTCTTGGGGCACATGCTCGTCCCGATGTATACGGTGAATGAAAGTATTTGGTAAACCTGGCTCCCTGGTACATTGCGAAGTCTGGTAGATATAGCAGTCTACAGTTTTCTCCTCCCGATCTCAGCTTTGGGTTGTAGCAGCAAACGAGGATCTCGATTCCCCCGTAAATCTGAACAAGACTTCAATCATGTTCCGGATTGTACGCCAACTCAAACCATCGAGTCCACACGCCAGCTTCGGAATGGCTAATCGTGCAATGTTGTTGTTTAGCAGGGCTTCTCTCAGTTCAATCAGGGCTCTTCCATAGATTAGAGATAAGTCGGCTTACTCGGGGACCATTCCTTTGGTGACCAGGTAGAAGATGTGCCTTGCTTGACCATGCCTTGTCGGTTAGCCTCAAGACGCTTCCAACCTCTGATCCTGTCGGCGTAGTTCTCCGACACGCCCAAACTTCATTGAACGTCGCAGCGATTCCTCTGAACATCCGGCAAATCTCGAGCCACAATGAGCGAGCGAATAATCAGGAGGCACGGAAAAGAGGTCTCGTTGATCTTCTTTTGGTTACGCCATAGGGCGAGCCTTCTCACTGCTGTTGTATCGGGCCATGAAATCGTCAAAAGACATCTCCTTCCGAATCAGGGGATCTGCAGGTTCTCACGGTCCCAGCACGATCTTCTATTTCGCCTTGGTAGGGCTCAAACGGTTGAAATGGACTACCCTCGGTTTTCCTTTTTGGCAAATTTTCTGATACGGTATACGACATCATTAATCCTATCCATGACTTCGTATGGCCCCTTCCCACGAGGATTGTGAAGCTTTCGGAGATAACCCACGACGTCTCTGCGGGTTGTATAGCCACACCAACTTCCCTGGTTGGTATCCTCCATGTTCAGCTTGGATGTCGTAGTGTTCCTTCATTCGATCACTAGCACTTTGAATATTGAGGCGGACTCTCTGATGAATGTCGTCCATCCTTTGACGTAGGGTGTGGACATAATCTTCTCCGGTGACTTCTTCTCCCGGTCGGCAACCAAATTTCAGATCACAGAGTAGACGCACTTCCCGTCCCATAACGATGCTGGCTGGAGTTTGCCCTGTAGATTCTTGGACGGATGAACGGTAGGCCAACAGGAACAGGTGAAGAAATTTGTCCCAGTCTCTTTGGTGGTCAGAGACTACTTTGGCCAGATAACGGTTTATAGTTCTGTTCATGCGTTCAACCATCCCATCGGATTGTGGATGTAGAGCAGTCGTCCTGGTCTTGCGGATGTTCAGGACTTCACAGACGCCTTGTGTAAGAGCGAGTAAGAAAAATATAATATTTTTTTTTGTTTATATAGCATAATATATGAATGGTGTTAATATCAATTTAATATTCAAACAACATAAACAAAAGAAGCTAAACTCACCTTAGATGCCGGGACACTTGTGTAATGCTCTCACTTCTATGATCACGCAATTTGCAATCTATAAAA